CTGGAAGGCGAGGCGCTGACCCTCTGCTGCCTGCCTGCTGGCAGCCCAACCCCCAGAATCCTCTGGATGAAAGGTGCAGGATCTGCCTGTGTTGCCCCTGTGGGTGGGCACCAGGGGGGACAATGTTGCATCCCTGTTCTCTGCTCCCTCCTGCAGACAAGAAGTCCCTGCAGCCAGACAGTGCACTGAACGTAGTGTCCTGCAAGGATGGCCGGCAGATGCTCACCATTGCCAAGGTCTCCAGGAAGGATGCTGGGCTGTATGAGTGTGCAGCTGCCAACGCCCTGGGCACAGCCATCAGCTCCTGCACGCTGGCTGTAGCACGTAAGGAGGCGAGGGGGGGGACGCCCTTGGGGGAGAGAGCTGCTGCCCTGGGGGGAAGAGAGCATGTGCCAGGCATGGGCTCTGGGGCTGGGGATGGATCAGAGCAGGTCACTTGAGCTCTACTCTACCCATCTGGAAGAGATGGGGACCTTTGAGGTGGGACAGGCTGGTTTTGCACCTCCAGCATCTCCAAGACCTCGTGTTGTGCTGCCCTTGTCCCACAGCAGCTCTGCCCTGCCCTGCCCCTGGCCGGGCATCCAGCCTGTCCTTTCTGTGCCCTTGCAGGGCTCCCTGGGCGGCCAGGCACCCCGGAGATCCCCCAGAAGTACAAGAACACAGTGCTGGTGCTGTGGAAGCCTGCAGTGAGCAAAGCCCCCTGCACCTACACGCTGGAGCGCAGGCTGGATGGTACGTGGGGCTGCCTCTAGTCCCCAGGGAGCCACAGCCAGAGAGATGGGCTCACCTGAGGACACCAAACCAGGACAAAAGTGTCCAATGTCCAGCTATTGCCTGGGGCTTGGCAGGGTTCTGGGCCATGGGCCCAGCCCCTGGTCTGCCCCTGCCTCATCTTGCCCCCACTCTGGCAGGGGAGCATGAGTGGAAGATCATCAGCACTGGCATTGCTGACTGCTACTTTAACGTGACGGATTTGCCCCCTGGGAGTGCTGCCAAGTTTCGGGTGGCTTGTGTCAACAAGGCTGGACAGGGGCCCTACAGCACCCCCTCTGGGAAGGTGCACCTCGAGGTAGCAGGTGAGTGAGCCCTGACCTGTGGGATGTGGTGCAACCATGGGGCTGGGTGTGGGGCTGTGGCCTCCGGGATGCTCTGGGGTCCTTGAGTCCTGAAGGATCTCACCCTTAGGGCTTTGGGGAAACAGAGTGCTACTTACACCCTGCTTCTGGCCTCCCTCCACATGCCTCACACTTCCCTTTGCTCCCCACAGATGCCCAAGCATCCCCAGCCAAGGACATTGTCATCCCTGTCCCTGAGAAGACGGCTTCCAGCCGCTCAACCCAGACATCTGTGGGGCAGCTGGAGCCACCAGCCATGGGGGTCCCCCCCACCACACCGCCCCGCAAGCACAAGGGAGTGGTGCAGAAGGCAGATGGGGTGGCACAGGCGGATGTCCCCCCAGAGGTTCTCCAGCCCCCTGTGCTCCCCATGGAGGGGCCACAGCCAGACCTGGAGCTCCTGCCCAGCCCCCACTACCCCGGGCTCCATCTCCTTCCAAGTTCTCCCCCACTTCCACAGTGTCGACCACCCCCAGTTCAGCCCCCACACTCTCCTCCACCCCCAACGCCACACCCACGCGGAAGATGCCCCCCTACATGGTCACTTCCTTCGTCTCCATGCCCCCCACATCACCTCCTGTGCAGGAGCCCACCAGCACCACCCCATCCTCCAAGGAGACCCCAGCTGACAGTGGGGTCCCAGGGGCTAAGGATGGCACGGCTCTGCGGCAGGGGGTCCCCCAAAAGCCCTACACTTTTCTGGATGAGAAGGCGAGGTGAGTAGCAGTGGGACAGAGTGCTCTGCCAGGGTATTTCCCCTGTCCAGCACTTCACATGGGGGACGCTGAACACCACTCTGTGCTGCAGGGGTCGCTTCGGGGTGATCCGGCTGTGCAAGGAGAACTCCACAGGGAAGCACTTCATGGCCAAGATCGTGCCCTACGAGGCAGAGAGGAAGCAGAGCGTGCTGCAGGAGTACGAGATCCTCAAGGCACTGCACCACGAGCGCATCATGGCCCTGCACGAGGCGTACATCACCCCCCGATACCTGGTGCTCATATGTGAGAACTGTGCTGGCAAGGAGATCCTCTACAGCATTGTCGACAGGTACGGATGGGTGCTGGGCTGCTGGGGAAAGCTGCCAGCACAGGGCCACTCACTGAGGCCACTTGTCCCCAGGTTTCGCTACTCGGAGGACGACGTGGTGAGCTATGTGCTGCAGCTCCTGCAGGGCCTCGAGTACCTGCATGGCCACCGCATTGTGCACCTCGACATCAAGCCAGATAACATCATTGTCTCGGGCATGAATGCCCTCAAGATCATCGATTTTGGCAGCGCCCAGACCTACAACCCCCTTGTGCTGCGGCAGCTGGGGCGGCGTGTTGGGACCTTGGAGTATATGTGTGAGTGGGGCACTGGGGTTGTGGTGGCATGGGTATGGGGATGGGGACAGCAACAGAGCTGGGGTACGCCTGTGCCTGAGGTGTGCATGTGTTCCCATGCACTGTAGGGCTTGGGGATAGGGAGGAGCTGAGGTGTTCTTGGGAAAGCTGGGGGTCTTTGGAGTGCTAGGGGTGTTTGGTGAGGGTTTCTAGTAGGGTTTCTGGGTTCAGTGGGAGAGTTTGGGTGCTCTGGAGCAGCTGGGTTAACCTTGGAGGTGCTGGGCTCTGTTGGGGTATTGGGGTGTCAAGGAGGGGTGCAGGAGAATGTAATGGTGGGGTGCTGTGGGTGCTGGAGATGCTCTGGATGATGTGGGTGCAGGGGATGCCGGGGTGCTGGGCATTATGTAGTGCATATGACATCCCTGCTCCCCTGCCTGCAGCGCCAGAGGTGGTGAAGGGGGACCCAGTGGGCTCTGCAGCAGACATCTGGGGCGTTGGCGTCCTTACCTACATCATGTAAGAGAAGGGGCTGCTGGGGGGGGATCCCCCTGAGCTGTAGCCAGCCCCACCCAGGGCTCAGTGCCATGGTGGACACCAGGCTGGTGGTAGGCTGGGGGTTGCTGCAGCACTGCAGACCCTTCCCAGCTGGACATGGGGGTTGAGACCCTGGGTGACTGTAGCTGTTCCAAAACAGGGATGGGTGGATGGGGGGTCCTGGGTGCCCTCCCACTGGTGTCCCTCAGCCTGTGCCACGCCCTCCATTCTCACAGGCTCAGTGGACGGTCACCATTCTTCGAACTGGACCCCATCGAGACAGAGAATCGCATCCTGGCAGGGCGCTTTGATGCCTTCAAGTTGTACCCCAACGTCTCGCAGGGTGCTGCCCTCTTCATCCGCAAGGTCCTTGCCGTCCACCCCTGGTGAGTGCCTGGCCCAGCTAGGGAAGGCATATGGCCCTGGGCAGTGTCTGTGACCAGACCAGGCAGGCAGCATGAGGGATCCTCAAGACATCATCAGTGGGACCCTGAGATCCATCCCTGCTTTTGGAGCGGGATGGGACCTCCTGGGTCTTGCAGGGCAGGGGTGGTGGCCAGGTTTAGGAGATGCAGTGGTGGTGGGGTCCCTGCAGTGGCCCAGCTAGGGAAGGCATATGGCCCTGGGCAGTGTCTGTGACCAGACCAGGCAGGCAGCATGAGGGATCCTCAAGACATCATCAGTGGGACCCTGAGATCCATCCCTGCTTTTGGAGCGGGATGGGACCTCCTGGGTCTTGCAGGGCAGGGGTGGTGGCCAGGTTTAGGAGATGCAGTGGTGGTGGGGTCCCTGCAGCCCCTGACGCGG